AATTGAGAGTTTGGGGGAACCCTATATACTGAGAGAAGAAATGTCTAAAAACTTTAGAATATTTATTTGATAGGTACTAATAACATATTGTTTAATTAGAATACATTTTGTTTAAGTAAAATAAACAATTGTTTTCATGGAAAGCAACGGTTTTATGAAAATATGTATATTCTTATTTGAAAAAAAATTTTTTGAAACCTTTGAAAATGTGGAAATATCTATATTAATATATCTATTTTAATATAAGTAAATATGTTATTAGTACCCGTCGAATAAATATTTCTTGTTTTTTAAATATATTTTTCGTCCAGTATAGACGCGCTAGAATCACGTGTATTATTATCACGTATAATATAATCACGTGTATTATATCAGGAATGAAGGATTAGACGTAGAATTTACACAACGCGCCGAACTTTGACAGCGTCCATATCGGGCCCGGGCTGATACGGCTGAACTTGCACTCGGTCGGGTGTATAGGCAATCATGGGAGAGCAGTCTGCAGTATCGGACTGCGAATTACGTGAACTTTAGCCCTCGATATCGCGAAACATAGAGGGGTCGTATGTGCTAATAAACCGAGGTATCAACCGTTAATTAGAAAACAAATATCTCAGTGTCACAAGCCAGAACCAATATCGCATTTGCGTCGTGGTCGACATTAGATAACACTGATAACACTGCTCTCTAAAGAAAATCAATAAAAATATTTTTAATTGAATCAGTAAAAGTATTAAGCCGAATTTCTGAAAACATTACCCACGTTCTATTGCCACAAATTTTAGCTAAAATATTCCAAATGGTGCCAATTACATGTCTCTAAATGGATTTTTACCAATAGAAAAGTTTAATGCCAAAAATATTCAAATAACTTTACATATCACTGTTAGTAGTATGTAATTTGCTAATACATATGTAGAAACGATATATTAACGATTACGTAAGCCGGGTAAGAAAAGTAATCTGAGATAATAGTACCCTTAGGAAAAAATTAAATTTAAAATGTTCAAATTAACTTTAAAACAAAATTTTAAATTAAATTTAAAATGTTCAAATTAACTTAAAGTTGCTTAAAGTTACTTAAAGTTATTTACAGTTAACTATAGTCGCAAATGCGATTCTAACATTAAACTTTTCTATTGGTAAGCATTCATTTAGAGGCATTTATTTGGCACCATTTGGAATATTTTAGCTAAAATTTATGACAATAGTTAACTATAAATAACTAATAAATAGTTAACTATAAATAACTATAAATAACTTTAAGTAACTTTAAGCAATTTTAAGTTAATTTGAACATCTTAAAGTAATTTTTCCTAAGGGATAACAACAATGTATAACAGTATTTCAATATTTTTTGTATTAAACTTTCTTATCAGTGAAAATTCATTAGAGGGTATTCCATTTGACATCATTTGAACTATTAAAGCCAAAATTTAAGCCGTGGTAAAATTTAAGTAGTTTTTAGAAGTTTATCTAAACCTTATTTCACTGATCAAGTGATGTGTATATTTATTGATTTTCAATGAAAACGCCCTTTACTGCTCCGTCTTATTTATCACTGATTTTAATCAGTGAAAATAAAATTTTACTGCAGAACCTATAATATATAAATTCGTCGTACGCTATATCAAGTTTAAACGCTTTCTGACGCGTTTAAACGCCTTTGTGACGATGACATTAACAGCTTATATGCACCTTGCGTGCAACCCCACTACTGTGTTCGCAAAGCGCATAAAAAATGGGAATAACTACTATTATTGACCGATCATATATTATTAACTTTTAGCGAGATTTTACTGATTTCAGTTCTATAATAATTAAATTTTCAGTTATATATTTTTAAGGCTTCTGTGTCCTCACTTCGGCTGTTCTTATTTAATGACGTCCTTATTTAATGAAGCGAGATATTACAAGTCAATTTATATTGCAATATAAAATCAAAGAATATACGCACTAAATGATTAATTCAGTACGCTTGTAAAAATGTTCAGACACTTTCTTCTAGCCTGAACAATTAATCAGCAGCTGTAAAATTAACGCAATAGAAATCAGGAGAACAAATAGGTTAAAAACGTAAGTTGCATGTTACACTAATATTCGGCTATATATTGATTATTGAATTTATTAAAGAGTCCGGACATTTTTGCAAATGTGCTGAATCGATTAAAATTGTCATTTGATGCATATATTTGTTAATTTCTACGTATATAGCAATAGCGAGGACATAGAAGTCTTAACTAAACTTACATGCTTATAACTAAACCAATATTTTAGTGAATAATGCACTGATTGCATTTTAAAGAGCATGTTCGCAATCATAAAAATCGTTCATCGCCGTTCGTTTAAATTTTTCTTGCTACTTTTTCACAATGGCATTTGTAAATAATCTTTTTGTTATTAAGTGTGTACCAGAATTTTAGCAAATTTTGTCTTTAGCAAGCCTTTCAGCAAGGCTTAAAACAAGCAAATGTCTTCTAGCAAGTTTTAGCGTAAGTTGTCGCTATATATTTTCATATTATATAAATCATTATTATTAAATCATAATAACATTTCATTTAGATCTCGATGTTTCTTTATATGATTGGGAAAATTCTTTATATGATGGAAAAAGAAAGATATGTATTTTAATTCTAAATATAATTTCATCAGAGAGCTGAAGGAAAAATTAAAATTAAAACTCTTGTACACATCTAATATTTCTTAAAATATTATTTTCACGCCGATTGTGAAACTTCGATACTAACAGCCTCTCGCAATTGCTATTTATATCTACGCGTCTTCGACACCGAGTTTTTTTCTTCGATTGCTCGACAACACTTGGTTAAAATGAATCATTTAAAATATTTCTAATTGAACCTGATCGAGTTAAAGCAATATTTCGCCGATAATCAGTAATTATTTACTGATTTTCAGTGACAATACTTAAATTTTACTGTTTTATCTTATATCTCATTAATTTTGAATAATGGAAGTAATATTTTACTGCAAAATATGTAGTGCGCACAAATTCGTTATATGCTATACCAAACCCAATGTTCTGCGTTTGTGGTGATGAAATTAGCGGCTTCCATGTGTCTTGCACACAATAACACTGTCGCATTTGCAAAATGCGTCGATAATAAGAACAGTCGCTACTATTAACTGATCCTTTCAGGAAAATTTTACACGATTGCGGTGCTATAAATAAACCGTCAATTATAAATATAGCATTTCAATGAAGAATACTAATTGTACTTTAGAAAGTGGTTATATATGTGCAGTGAAATTAATTATTTCCTATAACGTGTTATCACGACATCATGTATCGGTATACATCCGATGTGTAATCGTGTTAATTAATGCATACTACAGTGCACGGATTTACCGCAATTACCGCTTCTATCCGTTTTACCATTAATCTTCGTTCTCGTATATCACATAAGCCTCTATCAAGTACGTTTCCACACACATATTCGAGGAACATTAAACCATCAGCGACAGATATTCGGCGATAATCTTTCCACGACGAGGTTAAACAGTCAGATCCGTTTTACATTGCACATAATTATAGAAAATCAATAAACCGTCGTCAATAAGAAAAAGATAAGAAGAGAGAGCAACTACTGTCGTTTCATTGTACATTGGGTTTCAGAACGGTTTGAGCACTTTATTTTTCAATGCGTTTTGGAAAGTAGCCGATGGTCTAACGAGAGAACTCGTTTTTTATTAATTCTTAAAAGTTATATTTTCTCATTAGGTTATTGGGCTATATTCTCATTAGGCTATATTCCAAACTGCATCGAAAAAGAAGTGTTCAAGCCGTTTTGAAATCCAATGTACACTTGGTTGCAAAACAGTTTAAGCAAAATAAAATTAGAATTTTACCAAATTGTCAAAATTGAGTCATTACAATCTTGCAAGTAACGATATTATTATTACTCTCTAAAATTCTTGGAATGAAATTCCACTCGGTAAATAGAGTGATCACTGAGTCATTCGAATGGTTTTTCACTCATATATAAGGTATCCCAGATCACCATTCTCAAACTTCACGAGAGCGTAAAATGAATTAAGGTGAACATAAAAGTCTCATATCGTTTTGCGATATTCGTAATAAATCTTGAGATATTAATTAAAGAAGATATTAAAAAGATATTAATTAAAGAAGAAGAATAATCAGATGAGGCGATATGGTAGATGAGTTATAGTGGCGCCATCTACCATTGTATATTTATACATTAGATCAAACTAAACAAAAAAGTTTTTTACCAGTTTGCAAATGACTACATCAATTTTTAGATATTAAGAACATTTGTGCATTATTGCACACAATCATATAATAATTCTCTTTCATGAATAATTAAATATCTACGTGATTATTTGCAAAATAATAAAAAGCTTTTTTATTTTCAATTTGACTTAATGTACAAACATATCGCCGTATATAGATCATCTATCATATTGCGCGTGATCATTCATCAATCTTCTTTAATTAATATTTTGAAATTTATTACGATTATCGTAAAACGATATAAAATTTTCATCTCAATCTGTTCTATGCTCTTGCAAAGTTTGAAAATGGTGGTCTGGGACACCCTATATAAAGTAAATTCTGCAATCTAAATCGTCGAGTCGATATTTTCACTCAAAGACTAAATCTGATACATTACACTGTCTTAAGAATATACTCACTCTAATAGATTGAAACATTTCCTCACGTACGAAGTCACAATTTTAAGCTTGAGTGAAACATTCATTCAAATGGCAGCATTTTCACTGTCGTTTTGAGTCACTTTCACTCGTTTTGAGTAAGAAGAAATTCCCATTCGAAGAAATGTAGAAGATGTTTCATGTATTATTATTTAGTATTATATTACTGCGTAAGCCTGTCAGTTATGATCATCGGTTTTGATAGTTTGGTGAGCTCTCAATTTCATTGCGTCTAAATCGTTTTACAATTAAATATACACGACATAAGGATGGGAGACTCAATATGAGAGAAATTGTCATGATAATAATACGGTCTCGCTCTGCATTTTTATTTATCTACAGCCAACTAGCGTTTTACTTTTATATCCGAATCAGGCCGGATTTATAAAATTGTCTATATCCTTATTCTATATATACGTATGCATGTACGTATATGTACATATATATATATGTGAATATATATATGTATATGTAAACATATATATCTATATGTGAATATATATTATATGTATCCTGATGTGTGTTCTCTCTTATCCTATTTACATAGATACCGTTGATCTATTTAGCACACAGCCGTGCGGACCATCTCCGGAGCGAATGCGCATCGCAGTGTATTGCACTGAGGTGAAATTGTAAAATGTCAAATGAATCTTAGAGCTCCGTCGTTACACGATGTATGAACATACAAAAGAAGGTGCTATCTACAAGAGTTTCTTTTTTCTTTTTTTCTTCTTCATTTTTTCTACAGAATATCCTAACACGTGCACGCTCCGTCGCGCGTTCACTCGGTGGTCACCGTCGCGTATCAAATTTTATTAACACAGTCTTTTGAAACGACGTCGCAATCGTTGGTGCGCGGAAATCTACGAAACGGGAGGAGCTATCATCTGATTATATGGACACACGTATGCCGAGAAAACGCGCCGTATAAAAACCGAGAATAATAACATATTATTGTACATTGAATAGCTTAAAGGTAATGAATCGCATGACTACTGCGATCTCTCACCGATAGATTTCCTTAATACGTACATATTGATACATTAATTTCATAATATGTACACGCATATGCGATAACTAACGCGTCGATTTTGTGGCTGACGAGAAAATGTGCAAAGTGTTTCTTGACAAATTACATTATATTATTGGAACGTAGCATGAACGCTTCAAATTGAGAACGCGTCACCTCAGGACAAAATAGGCCGGCCTCTTCTGCAATTTGAATCTATATTCCCCCACGAGACGAGGGCGCGCTATTTCTAACGAAGTGTCAATAAAGATCAACGCTATCGCGCAGCGTCATAATCGCGTAAAACTACTCTCTTCCTTTTTACGAACAGCATCGTTATTACTCATTCACTCACTCGCTCGCTCGCTCATTCTGAAAACTCTTCCTACTCCCCGTTATCACATACTTGGCAACAAAATTGCGTAACGCCAATCACGCACGAGTACAACTGACTCAGTCAACGAACGTACCGAAATAACACCGGTAACGAGGACAGATCTTTCTCGAGCCGAGATTGCACTCGCAAACATTCTTTGTTTCTCCTCCGTGCACGCGCACCGAGCGTATCGCCGCGAAGTGCAACAACCAACGGACGAGTGCACGTTATATCGCTCTCATCGTATCGCGCAGACACTTATCCACGCCGATGACTCATATCGAACATATCGGTCCACGTTAGTACCGAGACTCGACAATCAATCGGAGAAAGTCTGTCGTATAAACGTACGTCACGTATTTACCGTGGGTTCTAAGAAAAAAAAGAAGAAGAAATGGAAAAAGAGGGACGCGCCTGATGCAACGTATTAAAATTCCACGCAATAATATGTTAGTTTACATTGATCGTTTGATACACGTATTGTATAGTTATCTGTTGAATTATGTTAATATAGACGCGTGTAAACTACGGTGTACTAAGCTGGTGCAATACGCAACAAAAATACGTGTCGTACCAGTTGAATATACCGTAATGCATCGCCGAAAATAAGGAAATTTGGTAGAAAGTTACTAAACAATCGGCATAGAACAATGTGCGTTTCATATGTGATCGATTGTACAAAATTAATGGAGCCCGATGAGTAATCTCTAACGTCTAACGAGACTTACAAATTAAAAGTCGAAAAGCGATTCGAAGCCGAAAAACAATCTCGAAAACGTGTTCATTTCGATATTCTCATGTGTCTTATATTCCAGAGAATCAAATTTGCTAGGCTTTATTTCGTCGTCGCGCGGCTGAAAAGTCAAAAAATTTCTTGACCGAATCGACGCTATATTGTATATTTATATACATAAGTATTATATATAGAATCTCGTATTCTTTATCTTCTAAATAGAGAGGTTTCTTTCTTTGTTCTCGTTACTTATCAAGCATATATGTTTACATGTGTGTGTGTATGTGTGTGTGTGTGTATCTTCGATGTACGTCGAAAGATACGAGCGCTTAACCGAACATTCGTAGGCACTTACAAAAAGCACGTAATATGTAGCCTTAAAACTATTACACGACACGTCTCGTATAGAAAATAACGATTATATAACAGAATAATATCCTGTCTCCCACGTGAATACGCCTAATTAACGCGATTAATAGTACAGGTAAGAAACGTAGAAACGAAAAAGAAATGCTGCTGAATCAATAGAATTAGTCAACAGCGTCATAGTTGGAATAAATGTTTTTGATTCAATAGCAATATTGTTGAAATTAATATATCATATATTGTTTCAATCTTTTACAAGTCACTAGTCGACATTTTGACCGCTAACATTCTTCTCCAAGACAGTCACTGATCAATGTATTGTCCAAACCAAACATGAAATGTAAAAAAATATAAAAAATCTTTTCAGGGAGCCGTTTCCTATAAAAGATTTAATAATTCGAGCATTAGTTTTAATAATATTACGATCAAGAAGATTCATCCGACTACAGCGCGCTTGATCCATTCTATTGATTCAACAAGATTTTTACCCGTGAAAATAATTTGTTAAGAACCTCGCAAATTGTAATAATAAGTTACCGTGAGTCTTTACACGGGAGACGGAGATCACATGAGAAATACAGCATCTGACTTTCAAGATGACGCTGTACTACACGAGAAAAAATGCCGTTGTGTCAACAGAGTTAATCAACAACGTTATGATAAGAGTAAACTTTTTGAATTCAATAGCAATATATATTATTGAAAATAATATAGAGAAAATAATATAGAGAAAATAATTAGAGTTCTTAAAATAATGTAAGACGCATTAATTTCAATATATATATAATACATTGTTTTTTTTAGAATTGAGAAGATTACTCCAATTATGGTGTAGTTGACCGATTCTGCTAACACAACATTTTCTTTTCTTGCACGGCATATAGATACGATATCTGTACGATAATTCGTAAGATTTCTACGGAGCTAAAAGAATTGACAAGAATGATACACTTACGCGAATATAAAATGGAACATATATCTTTCTAGCTTATACAAAACCGCGGCCGATTCATGCGTCTTTCTTTCATGCGAATGAATGCGGACTTGTCATATTTCACACAGTATCTTAAATGCTCTCACATAGTCGATTACCAAACTAAACTGTATTAGAAAAAAGAAACCAAAAAAAGAAACCAAAAAAGAAATTTAAAAAATGCCCGCGCTCTTTCAGCTTCTCAGAGCGCGTTCTCCGTTGGGTCTTTCACTTGTACTTGCTTTATGTGTGCACGAACGTAACGCGCGCAAAATATCACGGGATTAGGCGCGTTACACGTTCGCTGAATGTTTCTTTCTTACATAGTAATCCAACGAAGGTAGGTAATCCGGTTATATGTACTGATTCTACGAGCGACGCTGCATCGGACTCACTTCTCCGAATCAACCAGATGTTTCCTCAAATACGTCATGAAATCTATGAGAGCAGTGGACAACGATCTGTCCACCACTTTCTGCGGTATCCAACCCTTCAGATTCGTATTTAAAATCCAGGTGAAGCGACACTTGTTGCTGTTTTCGGCGGACAATTCTTCCGCTGCCCAACAGCCCACGCCGTTTTCGCCCCTGGAGAAACAAAATTAGAGTTTACGATCAGTCTCTTTCACTTTCTCTTTCCTGTCTTGCTTCACTCGATTCTCTCACCTGATCATGTGCTTGCGATTCGGGATCGTCGTCGTGGGGATAGACACACCGCTGCTTACATAAAAATTGCCACACTTGTTGCGATGTCGTAGAATAATGAAATCTCGCGCAGTGATGAGTCCGCCACCTTGCGGGCTTGTCGATTGATACACGATATCCGTATTTTCATCGATGTTCTGATTAACAGACCATCTTCATTACCGACTATCATGAGTAGGATGGAAAAAGAGGGGAACGCGAATATTCACCTGTAACTTCACTGATTCCATTACAAGCTTGTTCCACGAAGGATGCTCCTCGATACCTTCGAACAGCCAATCGACTAGCGTGCTGGCAGGTGCATCAATAATGCCCTGCAAACAATAATCAAATCGTATTGATCATTCGTGGAAGGATACAATTTTCGTGATTTTACAATTACCACATTATAATTGAAGCAAGATTACAATAACTGTGGCGATTGTGGCGATTTAGTTAACATATGTTATCAAATTTCTGTCCCTGAGTAACTTTCAAAAAGTTTTAATCCGCACTCTTTGTTTATTGAAAAATTATTGACAACAGCAGTTTCATAAAAAAAAAATATATATGTATATATATATGTATATATATATATATATATATATATATATATATATATATATATATATATATACAGGGTGACCCATTTTAACTTAGGCAGCCAAATAACTCGAAAAATAAGCACACTACGAAAAAATGTTTAGAATCAAAATTTTGTCATTTCGAGGGGGACGTACAATGACGTTAAAATTAGCCCCCCCCCCCCTCCCCCTGGGCGGTGAGGGGGGGCAAGTTTGAAATCTTAAATGGGAACCCCTATTTTTTATTGCATATTCGGAATCTTTGGCTAAAAACACATACAATTTGTCTGAAACATTTTTCTCGATTCATGATAGATGGCGCTGTAATCGACGAAATTCAATTTCTTCGATTTCTCTTACTGAGAACCCATGCTTACGATTCTGCAATAAATTAACAATAAAAATACCACGTTTTAATTGTTA